TACTAAGTGACAGCGGTCTGTTGCGCTAGTTCAACCGAACTATTTACCCTCTTCTAGACAGACAGACCCAAGGAAACGAAGACTGGTATTGCTACTACTGCTACTATTTTTTAATACTTCTGACTAGCGATGTAGCTGCGTGTTAGAAATACTGACACTATTTCTGACGTTGGTATTTGCCAGAGGTGACGCTGATTAAAAGTCAACGCTGGGGCTCATATACTCTCGATCTCAACAAGCGGGGGGAATCAGGGTTTATGCCATTCCGATTAAATACATGTTTTGAAGTTCGGAGCACACCAGGGCTTGTCTCGATTTCCGCCCTGTCAATCCTATCCACCTGGCTGCGTCACTTTATGGGTCAACGAGACGTTACTAAGAACTAGCTCAAGTTTTATCATGCCTTTATGTCGCATGGTGACATTTGCTGTTTTCAGGCCAACTTTTGACTGGGATTCGCCTTCACTACGGTAGCTTCGAGGTTCTTACGGCGGTGCAGTCATCAATAACTGTCATCCCAATTTAAAAGCGGCTTTTGCAGGTCGAGTGACATGATTGGTTTGTAAATAGCCAATGGCTACTGGGTTTGCAGATGAGCGAGTGTGCCTGATTGAAGCTCTAGTCTCCTTGATCAGATTTTATGGCTTTGTTCAGATTTCCATAGCTAGGGGCTACGGGACTATCTTCTCCACACACTCGTCTAGCTTGAATGTGTTGACCTCCAGAAAGCCTACTCGGCAGATCTCACGTCAAGAGGCTTCACAGCCTAGGCATGGCAATATGGCGTTTCCCATACCGAGAAACAAGACCTGCATGAAGCGAATTTCGATGGGTGCGGCGATGTCAATAAGGCTCAGCATGGTTTCGTTTGCGGCCCGCTCCTACTATACGTATTTACTCCATGGGTGTTTGAGGGGTAAGGGGAGGGATGTTGATGCATTTTGATAGCAATTCCCGTGTCGAGAGTGGGGGGAGGGGAGGGCGCGAATGCCATAGCAGTGAAATTTCATTCTGCATCAGCGAGTTTCCATCCGGCGAATTTTTGTGGCAAATATTTATTGTCTCGGTGGTGAGGCCCTAAGGAGAATTCCTCGGCTCACTGACTCGGTGTCAATCGAGTTTGAATTCACTGACGCGGCCTTCCCATGACATGTGAACTGCCATATCACGTTTAAAGCCTCTCCTCTCGCCCCCCCCAGCCCTAAATCTTACCTCACTTGTCAGTCCCCCATAACACCCACGGCGGCCTGAACACATCGGGAGGGGGGGGGCGATTAAATACAACAAGGCATGACCGCGTCAAGTGAGCGGTTGGATTACAGGCAGTAAGTAAGCATCCTCTGTGTGGGCACCCCCGTAGAAGGCTCGCGGAAGCCGAACAAGGAGGGCCAGTCCTACGCCAAACATGCGGAAGAAAGTCCCCCGACCAAAAGTGTCCACCAGAATCATCAGCAGTCCTACCTGCGGCCCACGTGGGTCTCTACAGTAATTCCACTTTATGATCGCCAGAACGCCTACTGTGAATAAATTCAGCAGCAATGTTAAAAAGAAGACACCCAGTTGACCCGATGGCTTTACAAATTAGGCTTCCAGCATTTATTCGCCAGGAGTTTCGAAATTCAGTTAAAGACCTTTAAGTAATGCTGCATAATACCAGAAGGATAGGAGCGGTAGACTTCAGAAGGAGCATCAGATCGCCTCTATGCGCTTCTATCTCTCAGCCACGGAGCGCCAACAGAATGCGCGTTTGCGATCGGAAGAAGCAATTAGACCCACCGTTTAACTGACAGGCTTCAGCGTTCTTCGAAACCCGCTTGCCCACTATTAACTGCCTCATGCGTAACCCTTACAGACTCGGAACACCAATTATCAGCGGTTCAGAGGTGAATAGAAGATTCTGGGAAATCGAACTAGAGAATGTTGATTTAGTTTAGACATTCAAAGCATAGCGTCACACGCTGGAAGGGAGACATCTCCGGATATTAGTTCTCGTCTTGGACATTTTTGATGTAGTCAGCAAGGCGTTTGCGCAGTCTCTGACGAACTAAAAGAGGGTTATATTAGTTGAAAACACAGTCAAAGTAACAAACGTTCAGCGAAGATTTCCTTGCCCTTCAGGATGTGCTGGGCGGTCTTCTGTCCGAGTGGGTTGGTGTCGAAGTACTTCTCAAGTGCAGCAATCGCGTTCAGACGACGGGCGCGGAGAGCACGAATGGGGTTGTACTGGTGCATTTAGCGGATAATTTCGTTAGCTCATGTCCAACTTCGGAATGTTTTAAGATATCTCAGTCCTACCTCCACATTCAA